AGAACAGATCCTTCTCAACAGATCAAAGACATGTACTCCATACTTCTAGCAAAAACACCTTATATGAATGGAAAAGATACAATGCTTTCTCTCTAAGGTGGGGAACAAGGGCAGATATGCCTACTCTTCATCTGTCCATTAAACTTTGAAACATAGGCTTGAACCAAAATAGTCTGGCAATAAAAATAAACAAATAGCATAGGATTGGTAATGTAGAAGTAAAATCTTTATATGTAGATGAAATAATCATCTACAAAGAAAATACTAAGAAATCTCTAGAAGCCCCTAGAACTTGTATTTGAATTTAGCAGGATTAGAAAACACAAGGTATATATAAAAATTCAGGTCCATGTATACTTGCTATAAAGGAAGAATTGGATATTGTAATTTAAAAGTTATGTAGGAGTACAAAGGACCTAGAAAAGTAAAAAGAAAAAGAAAAAAAAGTGTTGAAACACATTTTATACCTAATTTTAAGACTTCCTCTAAAGCTATAATAATCAAGGCAGTGTTGGTCTAAGGAAAGACTTATAGATCATTGGAATAAAACAGAGAATCTAGAAATAGAACCACACATACATGGTCCACTGAGTTTTGAAAGATTATTTAACATTAACATTTTACAGAACATAAACTCAATTCAAGAGCAGAGGAAAAGATAGTGTTTTCAGCAAATGTCACTAGAACACCTGGTATTTGTATATAAAAAATTAACCTCAACCCTTTATTTCCATACATAAAAATAACTTGAAAGGTTCCATGAACCTAAATATGAAAGACTAAAACTATAAAACATTAAGAAGAAATTGTAAAGGAAAATGTTTATGAATTTAGGGTAGGCAAGAATTTTCTAGGATATAAAAAACATGATGTATAAAAGAAAAAAATTGATAAATGAGATTCCATCAGAGTTTAGAACTTTAAATGGCATCATTAAAATGAAAAGTCCTTAAACAGACCATATTTATAATGCATATAACCTATGACCAGAATATATAAAGAACTCTTACACCTCATTAATAGGCAACCCAATTAAAAAGTAGACACAAGAAAAAAAAAAAGTAGACACAAGAAGATGATAAATAGCCAGTACAGCACAAGGAAAAGTGTGCCACACTAGAACCAGAAAAATACTAATCAGTGCAATAACAAGATGGAATTATACACTCATTAGGGAGATGAAGTTAAAAGTTTTAAAAGAACAAATGTCAGCTTAGGTGTGAACCAGTTAGAACTTTCTAATACTGCTAATGTGAATGTAAAATGATAAAACCATTTTGGAAAACAATATAGAAATTTCTTGTATTACTGTTAAGAACCAACAGTCCTGTTCTTAAGTTTTTACTTGAGAGGAATGAAAACGCATGTTCACAATAGATTTATTCATACAAGTTGACTATCCCTTATCTGAAATTCTTGGGACTAGAGTGTTTCAGTTTTTCATTTGAAATCCACTTGATCTGCAAAGAGGATAGCTACTCCTGCTTTTTTTTGGGGTGGGGGGGTTCCTGTCACATGGAGTATTGTTTTCCGCCCTTTAACTTTCAGACTATGAGTTTCTTTTTGAATTAAATGTGTTACTTGTATGCAGAATATTGTTGGATCTTGCATCTTGACCCATTCTGCCAGTCTGTTTCTTTTGATTGGTGAATTGAGACCATTAACGTTGATGGTTATAACTCATACATATTGACTTATCATTGTCATGACTTTCTGTTTGTTGGATTCTCCCCCTTTGCATTTCATTTCTTGTCGTGCCGGACGGATTCATTGTACTGGGCTTCCTGGGGTTGTGATCCTCGTTGTCTTTTCCTAGGATATTGTCTAAAATTTTTTGGAGTGTTGGTTTGGTATTCGTGAAGTTCTTAAGGTGCTCTTTGTCATGAAAGTATCTTATTTCTCCATCAATTTTGAAAGATAATTCTGCAGGGTACATCAGTCTGGGTTGAGGCTCTTTTCCTTTAGGGCTTGAAATATGTCACTCCAAGCTCTTCTTTCCTTGAGGGTTTACATTGAGAAGTCTGCTGTGATTCTGGTGCGCTTTCCTTTGTATGTGATTTGTTTCTTTTCTCTAAGTGCTTGTAGAACTTTGTTCTTCTGTTGGGTTTCTGGAATCTTAACTATTATATGCCTATGTGTAGATTTTTTTTGATCAAGGCTAGTTGGAGTCTGATATGTCTCATTTATCTGTATGTCAAGTTCTTTTCCCCTGCTTGGGAAGTTTTCTGCCATCACTTATGTGAACATTTTTTTTATGTTATCTGCACTCTCTCCTGTTTCTTTGTTGACTCCAATCAGTTTTATGTTATTCTTCTTTGGATCGTCTAGCAGTTGCTGGATTGATTTCTCGTGGTCCCTTAC